TCTCCTACTTTCTCTGTAAATTCAACTCATTCCACTAAGTCAACTCTGTTCACCTGTAAGAAAAGAAGCAGAATGGCCTTTACAGACTTGTCCCCGTATCTTTCCTCATTATTCACAAGAGGATGTCACTCCTTCCATTTAGTTAACAGAAAATATATGGTTCTGCACGTACATAGCAACGAAGAAAAGCCAAACTCCAAAAATAAAGGTTTATTATCAAATTCAAAACCACTTTCAAAAGCTAAGAAAAACAATATATAAGAAAACAATCCATACACTCATGATGCCAAAAAAAAACAGATCTACCCTGACTTTAGTCAAATAGAGAATTGAAAACATCAAGCTTGTACCCTGTATTCACTGAGTTACTGAACATTGGCAAAAAAAAAAACACAACAGCATACTAAGGGGCAATACAGGGCCCCAAGGATACAAAACACCATTCAATCACATTCGTAATATTACATACTATATATAAAGCAGTGGTCACCAACCTTTCGGACCTCGCGGACCACCAGTTGATGACCACTGCTATAATGTAAAGAAGACTATATTCTGGTTTAACCTTCAGAGACTAGTTAACTTCGGACGGGGCTGACAATCAGCCATTGCTGTTTGCTCTGCTCGGATGATTCCCTGAGATCGATCTCACCCAATTTACAACCCCACCCAAGCTGTGAGTAGAGGCTTTTGCATATGAATGGCGTGGCCTTTTGCAATCTAAAACCTAACATACTGTAGCTGGGTCAGAGAGCCCCAGAACCTCCAAAAGAAAGCCCAAAGCTGGACAGCAGCTTGCACTGCTTCAAAGCCGGGCCTCATCTGGGCACCTCCAAACCCCAAACATAAAAGAATAATCTGCAAATGTCTCTATAGCCTCATGGGGTGACTGACTTTGCACCTCCTTGGAATCCAAGAGCCAGTGTACCGAGTGGTCAGAGTGAGACCATCCAGACTACAATTCTCTCATCCATAAGAGACACACTCATGAGGCAGATTCAGTGAGCGCCAAAGCCCCACTTTGAGACACTCTTATGGGGAAAGAAGCAAGTCTTTCCCCATAAAGGTGTCTCCAGCACAAAAGTTCTCCCATCGTAGACACAACTGATCTTCACAGTCAAATGGCGTGGAGGTCAATTCCTCCCAGTGATACCAACAGCAGTCAAGGCTTAACTACAACATATTGTGCACACAGCCCACAAAGAGGTCCACCAGGAGTGACCACTCAGGTAATTAGAGAGGCTGAGCCACTGGGCCCTATGGGACACGTAACACACAAAGCAATTCTATCAACACAGGGAAGCAGCCAAATTAAGGAGACAAAGAAACAGGTCACAAATAAAAGAAATGGAGGAAAGAAAACTACTGGATATAGAGTTCAAAACCACTGTTATAAGGTTACTCAAGAACCTTCTAGAAACCTCTGAGAAATTTAGTGAGACCCTCAAGGATATGAAAAAGAACCAACTAGAAATTAAGCATACACTGACTGAAATAAAGAATAATATACAGAGATCCACCAGCAGACTAGAGAATCCCAAAAATCAAGTCAAAGACTTGAAATACAAACAAACAAAAACATCCAAAAGCAAAAGCAAAAAAGCAAAAGAAAAAAGTAATAAAAAATATGAAGATAGTGTAAGGAGCCTCTGGGGCAACTTCAAGTGTACCAACATCCGAATTATGGAGGTGCCAGAAGAGACAGCACAAGATATTGAAAACCTATTTGAAGAAACAATGACTGAAAACTTACCCCACCTGGTGAAAGAAATAGACTTACAAGTCCAGGAAGCACAGAGAACCCCAAACAAGAGGAAGCCAAAGAGGACCATACCAAAACACATCATAATTAAAATGCCAAGGGCAAAAGACAGAGAGAGAATATTAAAAGCAGCAAGAGAAAAAGTTACCTACAAGGGAACACTCATACGATTGTCAACTGATTTCTCAACAACTATGCAGGCCAGACGAGAGTGGCAAGGAATATTCAAAGTGATGAATAGCAAGAACCTACAACCAAGATTACTCTACCCAGCAAAGCTATCATTCAGAATTAAAGGCCAGATAAAGAACAGAATAAACTGGTGAATATAATACAATCAGGGGCACAGAAAGGAGTGGACTGACCATTCTCAAGGGGAAGGAGATGTGGGGATGCATGAAGACACTGAACAAAAATCATACACCTATGGATGAGGACAGTGTGTGTGTGTGTGGGGGGGGGGGGGGGTAAGACAAAGGGGTGGGGTGAGAACCGGTTGGAGGAGAGCTGGGGGGGGGGGGGGGACAACTGTAATAATCTAAACAATAAAGATATATTTTTACAAAAGAAGTTCAAAGCAAGCAAAGTACACTCATTAGAGAAGTTACTTTACATCCCAGAGCTCAATACTGAATTGCTGAAGGGGTTCTTTTGGAAGAGAAAGAAAATAAAGATAAAAATTATGAACAAATACATAACTATCAAAAAGTGAATCTAAAAACCAAGGGAATCAAAAAACCTGATGGCCGAAACCGGTTTGGCTTAATGGATAGAGCGTCAGCTTGGGGACTGAAAGGTCCCGGGTTCAATTCCGGTCAAGGGCATGTACCTTGGTTGCGGGCATATCCCTAGTAGGAGGTGTGCAAGAGGCAGCTGATCGATGACTCTCATCAATGTTTCTAACTCTCTCTCTCCCTTCCTCTCTGTACAAAATCAATAAAAGATATTTTTTTTAAAAAAAAACCTGATGAACAATATTAACTGTTGAATGTAATAGAATCAGAGGTATGGAAGGGGGGTGGACTAATGATTCTCAGGGAAAAGAGGAGTGGGGGGTGCGGGAAGAGACTGAACATAAAACTGTGAACCTATGGATAAGGACAATGGGGGGTGGGAAAAGGGCAGAGGGTGGGGTAGAACCTGGTGAAGGGGGAAAAAAAACGAGGAGCTTTTGTAATAATATGAACAATAAAGGTTTATTTAAAAAAAAAAAAAGGAAACATCATTACGGTAAAACGACTAGGACTTGGTTATTGATTAAACACTGTTATAGAAATGGACATCTCCAAGTTTGTTTTACATGCACACTGGTGAATAATGCTGCCATGAAACTAAATCTGAGCTCACTGAGAGAATAAGTGACTTTTGTGGATCATGATAGTATTATTTGGAAGAGGGATAGTTTTTAGCATGAAAATATCGTTTATAGAAATGGATGGAAAAGGGTGTGAATATGCAATGAGAACAAATGAGGTGATAGAGTTATGAAATAGACTAATTTTAAGAAGTCAGATTAGGAAAGGTAAATAGCTAGGAGGCAGTTCGATTAATTGTCATACTTCAGTTTCATCTACCTTTCCTACCTTTGTTTACTTTCCTTTTGCCTTTTCCCTCTAGTTTATTTTACATAAATATATTAATTTTATATTTGTGAATAGCCTGGAAGGCAGTGTAAAGTCTTACATTTTACAGCTGTTTCATCATCTCAAGGGTTCTTTCAAAATCAATCCACACCTGAAAGAGGAAATTCTCCCTCTTGAAAAGTCTTAGATTGAATCAAGTCCAGATGGAAAATTAAATGGGATAACCTTCATATACAGGGCTTTACAGCTGTGAAGAATAAGTGAAAGTTTATTTTGTATTTTTACTTATTAGTTGTGTTATTTTCCATACGAACAACTATAAAACTACTTTTGCCCCATTCTGTATGTAGTGAGTCAAGTAGATCAGCACCCACCCTCAAGGCAAAAACTGACAATGACAAGAAACCAAAGAGCGTGAATAATCCCAACTGATGACTAACCTACCATTTAAAAAGACAGTATGCAGAACTATGTAATGTTTAATGCTTTTGCTATTTCATGTAATCCTAACCACTCCAATACAAAAAAACAATGATTGACACCACCTCCATTTCAGAGATAAACAATATGAAGGACAGAGAAGTCACGCTTGCTCAATTCCCCAAGGTTACATTTCAGATGATCAGTAAAGCCACGACCATAGATATTATTCCGCCACGTAGTCTAGTAATCCATACACCAAACCACAAATGCTGCCAAATAATTCAAAATGGGGAGGGGAAAGCAGCACAGGGAAAAATGAGTGAAACTCAAAGAACAGAGGAAGCTATCTACAAGTAAGGAGTCCTCAGCGTGGGATGAGTCACCACCAGATGTTTACAAAATACTCCCGCAGAGAACGAGAAAATTGCTGCCGGGGGTACGCCTGCCTGTCGGTCGTGATAGTCCTAATTAACAGGCTAATTTGAAGAAGTCAGGTGTGCTTTCGCTATGTCAACCGGCAACTACAGAATGAAATCTCCGCATCCAATCCTAGTTCCTAACCGAACGAGGCGGGGGTCCCTGACCGCCTCCTTAAAAAAACCACCACAGATACTTCCAGAGTTAACAGCAAAGAGACGTCCAGGGCATGAATACCTTCCCTAACAACTTCGTAGGCAGGCGTGGGATGGAAACACGCTCTTTTGCTCACAAGCACCAACCCACTCATCAGTGTGGCAAAATGGATCTAATACACTCTTTCCTTCTGGGCGCAACTGCTGCGCGGCACCTGCTTTTAGCTCCTCTCCAAGGGCCTTCGCCAAGAGTAAAGCAGCAAGGCAGGGGCAAACGAGACGAAGGCCTCCGAGAGAGGAAGCCGCGGGAGCCAGAAAAAAAAAAAAAAGAAAAGAAAAGAAACGCGTTAACCACCTGTCCCTAAGGAAAAGTAATTCCAATAACAGCCCCCCGCCCCGGGGCGGAACACACCACCGCAGTGCCGAGGCCTAGCCGGCCTGGGAGCGGGAACCAGGCGTCTGACTCCCCGCCTGAGCCGGCATTTTCGAGAAAACAGCTGACACCGCCAAGTCCTCTTCTCCCGCCCCCGCCGCGGGCTGCTCCTGGGTCAGAAAAGCCCCCGCATCCCTCCCCGGCCGGCCCCCGCGCAGCAAAACGCATCCCCCAGGACAGAAAAGGGCGAGGCGTTCCCCGTGGCCTTCCCCGTGGCCGTTACTTACCTTCCCGCTCACTACGCCCGCCACCGCCATGTTTCCAGCGCGGGCCTGTGATGACGTAGCAGCGCCCCACGTGCCTCTCGGACTCACAACAACATCCGGCAAAACGAGGCTGATTTCCGGGAGGGACCGGGGCCGGAAGCAGACGGCAGGGCGCGGCGGGAGGAGCTGTCGGGCGCATGCGCGGTGAGCAGGGCTCGGAGGCGGCCAGGGCGGAGTCCTCTGGTGCACACTGCGCCTGCGTCTGTGTCTTTTTTCTAAGAGGGAAGCTGAGCTGACGTGGTTTTCGCCTCGGGGTTTTGCGGAGGAGTGAGGCTCAGCCAGTCTCCTGCCAGTTCAGTTTGGTGTGAACACGGGCTTTGGGAGCCGGCGAGCGGAGTCCTGGGTTTGTGGCTACCGGCGAGTCACTTCCTCCTTCCGCTTCAGCCTCAGTGTCTCACCGTGGAGATGACCAAGCTGTGGTGGAGATTAAAGGGATCCTAGCCCTCTCTCTGAGGCGCACACACAGTGCCTTTCCCCCCTGTATGTGAAGGGTCCGATTTCAGTTTGGTCACTGCCGCTCGCACGTGACGATGAGCAAGGTGTTCGGATAAGAACTTCAGTAACCTACCACACCCTCACTGTTCCAGAGTCCAACGTACACGGCTCTTAGATCCTGCACAGGGACTTAATCACTCTGCCACTTGAAACAAGTTTCTGCATTCAACCAAGCTTCAGTGTGTAAAGTGAGAATTACCCATGGAGTGGTTGTAGGAATCTCCTGGGACAATGCATGTGTGGGTGAGATGGTTTGTCAAGATAGTAAGGTATTATATTAGTTTGCTTTTTTTTTCTCTGATAGATGGAGAATGAAGTAAACTCCACCTGCAGCATAGACATTCCTGAGCACCTAACAAGACACCTTATGTGGACTGTGTACATTGTACCACCAGTCAGCACCTGCCAAATACCCTAAGCCCCCATTCCTAAGTCCCTAGGTCCCTGATCATGTGCCTTACATGAAACCACCAATCAGCGTGTGCTGAGTGCCCTAACCCCTGTCCCTTTTCCTCCCCTCAAAAGGCGAGTTCACCCCAGCATGTGTGCCGTTTCTCCTTGGAAGGAAGCCCAGCCGGGGTCTTCTCCTCCAATAAAGCCTGTGTCCTGGTATCCTGGTCTCTGGCCCTCGGTTTCACCTTTCATTCTCCGTGCTGTGAAAGAACACTAGAGAATGCCTGGAAACTCCCCTGACAGCTCTGGCACAAGGAGGGGGACTTCCCTTGCCCCAGAGCATAATAAAAGGGCCTTTTGTGTTCACTGAGATACTTCTCTCTTCACCCAGAGGAGAAAGATTAGAGGCTTTTGAGGTTGGTTGGATAAGTGGAGACCAATGGGAGTAACAGAAAAAGTGGGTTTCAGGTTCTCTGCCTATCGGGAACCTAATGGGTGAGGGAAGTGGTGAGAGGGCAGGGCAGGGCGAGGATGAGCTCCCAACTCCACTGCCGGGCAGGGTGGATTTATCCCTAGCCCTCACACAACCAATCAGGGTTAGCCGAGGCAATGACATCACCACTAACCTGAGTAAAACCGCTGGACTAGGCGAAATTCGCTCTCTCTTTCGCTATGCTGCGGGTGTGAGTGGGACAGAGCCCATGCTAGCATGGAAAAGGCTCTTTTGTTTATTGCATCGGACTCGGCTTCCTGGTGGTCCTTGGGGATCATGAAGTCTGGGTGTAACTGTGGCAAAACATTACATGAAAATGGATGTGAAGCACCATTATGGAGGCTGCCCTGTGGGCCTCAGAGATTCTATCCATGGCCAAACCCATGCCCAGGCTTGGCACTGACAGAATCAGTAAAGCAGCTCATCTGTAAGAGATAAGTGAGCTGGGGAAATGAGCATGTTAATAGTAACCAACATTGAGTGAAGACTTGAGGACCTTTCCCAAATGCACTGGACTAAGACCCCTTGACCTTCATACACTTCTGGGGTGGTTTGTAGACCTGTTACAGGGACCCAGTTTAAATTTTTCACCAGCTCAGAATAATGGGGTATGATTAGAGAAAAAAGACTTTTTCAGTATATTTTTATTTATTTCAGAGAGAAACAGAGAGGGATACAGAGATAGAAACATCAGCGATGAGACTCATTGATTGGCTGCCTCCTGAATGCCCCACACTGGAGATTGAGCCTGCAACCCAGGCAAGTGCAATCAGAACCCTGTGTGATCTCATTGGGGGAAAAATAGAATTTTGGGAATTATCTATGATTATGGTGTTAATGTAAAAAACATTAAAACTTGTAAAGAATTTTTGTGAGTTTATTTGAACCGAACTGTCCACATATGCTGGGAAGCAGAACCTCAATGAATTGAGATAATGCTCCAGAGAATGGCGGGTTACATCTGAATTTATACATTACAATCAAAAGAAGGGATTTAAGTGGGTTACATGAAATCCATTGGTGATAGATTAAGGAGATGGGATAAAGCAAAGTAGGGAAATCCTGGGATTGAATAAAAAGTAAAATGATGGACACATACTTAGGTGGGTGCAGAGACAATTAACATGATAATGAAGGACTTTGTGGTATCTGTCCTGGCGCCCAGCATATTAGATTGTGCCCCAAGGGGTCCAGAAAAAAGGAAGTTACAAGTTACCCAGACATTTCAAGGGTATGTTATCCTAGATGCAAAAAGACAATAGGCTCAGTTAAGATAAAGGTTGACTTTGTCAGTGAAGATACCATAACTGCTTTCAGTTAAAGTTTAATTTCAGATCATCCTTTGTGGTTACTTTAAGTCTCTGAGTTTGCAAGACTGCCATGCAGGCCTCCCCTGAGCATGTCAAATTAGCATGTGGCCCCTTTTGTCCAAAATGGGAAATATTAGTCATGCTCTGTTACTCATGATTTCCTTGTGTTGGTTAAAGAAAGGACATTCTGACCTGGCTGGGAGTTGTATGCTCCTGGGACCTGGGAGTCAATCTTAGAATGTGGTCTATTTTCATTTAAGAATTGCATATTATCATGGAAAGATGAACAATCTTATTCTCTAAACAATGGATTCCACTGGAGCTTGCACTGCCTACTTCCCCATGCCTGTAATCCCTACCTCCCCATGTCATCTTTGTCCTACCCTATATAAGCAGTAGGCCCTTGGGGAGCTGCAGAGCAGATTTTTATGAATGACCTGCTGTTCTCCCATACTGCTAGCATTATTGGAATAAACACTTATATGATTCAACCCTGTATCTGTTTAGTTGGCTCAAGTAGTAACAGGCAGCACAGACCCACTGATTGTCTGATTACAACAATGAGCCATGTCGGTTGGGTAAGAAAAAGCCTATATAATAAAGAGATAATATGCAGTTGAACCTCATAAGATGGCTGCCTACAGCCAGGCCAGCAGGGGGTTAGTGAGGGATGACCAAAAAACTGAATAAGCAGTCTGCTTGGAGCAACCAGGCTGCAGGGGTAACAGTTGGGGGCAACCAAGTTGGCAGAGGGGACAGTAAGAGGCAACTAGGCTGGTGGTGGGGGTAGAGGGGCAGTTGGGGTAATTAGCCTGATGGAGGGAGGCAGTGAGGGATGATTAGGCCAGTGGGAGGGGAGCAGTTGGGGGTGACCAGGCCAGCAGGGGGGCAGTAAGAGGTGAACAGCCAGTGGGGGAGGTAGGAATGACCAGGCTGGCAGGGAGGGGACAGTTGGGAGCGACCTAGCTGGCAGAGGGGGGCAGTTAGGAGTGACCAGGACAGCAGTAGGGGAGTAGTTAGGGGCGAACAGGCCTGTGAGGGGGGCGGGAGGACAGTTAGGGACAGGCAGGCAGGCAAGTGAGTGATTAGGACCCAGCAGTCCAAGATTGTGAGAGGGATGTCCATCTGCCAGGATCGCAGTTGGACATCCCCCAAGGGGTCCCGGATTGAAGAGGGTGCAGGCAAGACTGAGCGGACTCCTCTCCTGTGCATGAATTTTGTGCACTGGGCTTCTAGTTTTAATACAACATTTCTTATACCCTTGTTTTGGAGAAAAGTTGAGTTCCAGGAATAGAATACTTACAATGGTACCTATTATTTACATAATAAGTTTGGGAATTAAAAGCTTCTTATTGAAGCCGAAATCGGTTTGGCTCAGTGGTAGAGCGTTGGTCTGCGGACTGAAAGGTCCCGGGTTCGATTCCAGTCAAAGGCATGTATCTTGGTTGCGGGCACATCCCCGGTAGGGGGTGTGCAAGAGGTAGCTGGTCGATGTTTCTCTCTCATCGACGTTTCTAGCTCTCTATCCCCCTCTCTTCCTCTCTGTAAAAAATCAATAAAATATATTTTTTTTAAAAAAATAAAAGCTTCTTATTGAAAATTTGGCACCCTAGATTTATCTGCTACTTCTTCATATTCTTAACCCTCACCCAACAACTTCCCTTTAAATACTGGTGCTACCCATGAGCTATCCTTGCATTTCTTTTACTTTTCCCCCAAAACACTATCCTTGGGCCATTTTCTTCACATTCCAATATCACCACCGCCTATGTGCTGATGACTCCCAAATATTCTAGGCCAAGTCTCTTTCCTAAAGTCTAGAACCTACACTGACTGCCTTGTGGACAAAAGGGGCCACATGCAAATTGACAATCTCAGGGAAGGCCCACATGGCAGTCTTGAAATGTGTTACTCAAAGACCTAAAGTAACACAAAGGATGGTCTGAAGTTAAACTTTAACTAAAAGCAGTTATGGAGGATCCAAGATGGCTGCACAGGTAAACACCTAACCACAGCCACACACAACAATTTCAATAAAATACAACTAAAATATAAAATGGACATTACCCAGAACTACAGGAAAGGCGACTGACTGGAAATTCTACAACGAGAAGCAAGGAGAAAACCAGAAGGAAGAGCGGAGGAGCTGTAAAAGCCTAAGGTACGGAGACACCTGGTGCACTCGGAGAGGATGGAGCCAGAGAGGAGGGGGAGGCTGAGTGCCTGGCTGGCGTTCCCTAGTGGGAAGAAGATTAAAAACTCCAGACTGTGCTGAACCCCAGACCTGACAGCGCTGAACC